TATTATATTATATTATATTATATTATATTATATTATATTATATTATATTATATTATATTAATTATATTATTACTCTTCAGTAAGATTTATTGAGAGAGAGAGAAAAAAAAGTAAACTAAACAAGGCAGTCACTAAGTGAGGCCTGTCTGTAATCCAAAGGCCCAGAGACAAACTTTCACAGAATATCACTTCCGGACAATGCCAACAGCCTACAGGTAGTCCTCGACTTACAACCACAATTGAGCCCAACATTTCTGTTGTTCAGTGAGACATTTGCCCAGTGAGTTTTGCCCCATTTTACCACCTTTCTTGCCACGGTTGTTAAACGAATCACTGCAGTTGATAAGTTAGTAGCCCGGTTGTTAAGTGAATATGGCTTCCCCATTGACTTTGCTTGTCAGAAGGTCGCAAAAGGGGATCATGTGACCCCCAGGGACGCTGCAACTGGCATAAGTACGAGTCAGTTGCCCAGCATCTGAATTTTAATCACATGATCATGGAGACCCCACAAACATTGTAACTGTGAAAATTGGTCATATGTCCCTTTTTTTCAATGCCGTTGTAACGTTGAACGGTTACGAAATGGACTGTTGTAAGTGGAGGACTACTTGTATTTGGACTTCTGTGCTAAAATCCCTCTGGTTTTTTTTTTTATTGCCAAATTTCTGTGTTTTGAACATTAGGCAGAAATAAACTCACCATCTCTCTTTCCATCCTCTCTGCAGCGGAACTGAATGCCATCGCTCCTATCATCTCCAACTTCTTTCTCTGCTCCTACGCGCTCATCAATTTTAGCTGCTTCCATGCCTCCATCACCAACTCACCAGGTGAGGGCTTTCATCCCACAGCTTAGCAGCAAAGATCACCCACCAAGTTGGGTTCAAGAGCTTCAGGCGTTTCCTTCCAGGAAACTGGAAGTTAGAGGAGCCCTTTTTGACTTCCTTTCTCTGCCTATTATGCTGCTGAGGGCTCTGCCCTCTCTTATCTGATCATTTCCCCCCCACTATTCCCGCATACCATTACCCATGCTGACCAATCATCACTCTGCAACAAGGCAAAGAAAGTGTATAATAAAGAGCCGTGGTGGCACAGTGGTTAGAAGGCAGTATAACAGGTTAACTCTGTCCACAGCCAGCAGTTCAATCCTGACCTGCTCAAGGTTGACTCAGCCTTCCATCCTTTCGGGGTCAGTAAAGTGAGAACCCAGATTGTTGTGGGCAAAATGATGGCTCTGTAAAGCAAGGGCTATACATAAGTCTAAGTGCTATTGCTTGGGAAGGAAAGGGAGGAAGGAAGGAAGGAAAACGAGGAGAAGTAAGGAAGCTGTAGTGGCACAGTGGTTAGAATGGCGTATTGCAGGCTAATTCTGCCCACTGTTGGCAGTTTGATCCTGACTTGGCTCGAGGTTGACTCAGCCTTCCATCCTTTCAAGATTGGTAAAATTAGGACCCAGATTGTTGGGGGCAAGAGGATGATTCTGTAAAGTACTGTGGAGTGGTATATAAGTCTAAGTGCTATTGCTATTTAAAGTATTTGAAGAGTTTAACAGAATAACAGAGTTGGAAGGGACCTTGCAGGTCATCTAGTCTAACCCCTCCTCACCCAAACACGAGACCCTACACCATTTCTGACAGATGGCCATCCAGTCTTTTCTTGAAAGTCTCCAGTGATGAAGCTTCCACAACTTTTGAAGGCAGCCTCTGTTCCATTGGTTGGTTGTTCTCACTGTCCGAAAATTCCTCCTTATTTCTAGGTTGAATCTCTCCTTGTTCCATCCATTATTCCTTGTCTGGCCTTCGGGTGCTTTGGAAAATAGCTTGACCCTTTCCTCTCTGTGACAGCCCCTCAAATATTAGAAGATTGCTATCGTGTCTCCCCTGGGCCTTCTCTTCACTGGACTAGCCATGCCCAGTTCTTGTAACCCTTCTTCAAATGGTTTAGCCTCCAATCCCCTAATCATCATAATATATCTTGGCTGCCATTTCTGTTTAATATATTTTCTGTCACGCATGTAATATTTCACCCAGTTGTGGTCACCACAATAGGAAAAAAAATGTTGAGATCCTGGAAAATGTGCAGAGAAGAGCAACAAAAGGGCCTTTTGAAATGGACTCCTATCAAGTAATTTTTCCTTTCAGGTTGGAGACCCTCCTTCAGGTATTACAGCAAATGGGCAGCTCTGTTTGGGGCCATTGTTTCTGTCGTTATCATGTTCCTGCTAACCTGGTGGGCTGCCCTCATCGCTATCGGGATTGTGGTGTTCTTACTTGGATATGTTCTTTACAAGAAGCCTGGTATGGAGCTCATTAAAAAAAAAAAATACTGCTAAATACTGCTAAATAAAACAATGAACTGAGCTGAGGTAACTTTTTCCCTGCAGGAGTTAACTGGGGCTCATCTGTTCAAGCCGGTTCCTATAACATGGCCCTGAATTATTCTGTGAGTCTCAATGAGGTGGATGACCATATTAAAAATTACAGGTAAGGTTTTGTAAGCCACTGGATGTTGTGGCTCGCCAGCAGGCAGTGGAGCTGGCAGCAGAATTAGACAGTGAGGAGGTTGGGGAGGAGCATGGGCCAGTCCTGGAGGCTGGGGAAGGCTCAGACGAGGGCTCTGCATTGGAGGCAGATATGGGGCCGAGGCCGTCTGGCAGTGATCAGGTGCCTACAGAGAGCTAGACAGCAGTGAGGCAGAAGAACAGCTGGAGCCTGTTCCCAGTGTGTGCATGCACAGAGCTGCCAGAAGGAAAGAACAGCTCAGAAATCAGGGTCGACTTGGGAGTAAAGCCACAGGTGGAAGGTGATTGGCCCCTCCTGTAGGAAATAAAAGAGGAGCGAAAGGGGAGGGGGCTTTTGCAGGAAACAATTCGTTCGTTCATTAGATTCATTTCAGGAGTGTGAAGATCTGTCCGTGAATCTCAGAGACTCTGTGCCCAATCTTTCCTTGCACAGCACTGTGTTTGGAAAATATTTACATGGCAGCTTTCTAAGATAGATAAGGTCTGTGGTCATAAATATCCCTTTGAAAGACTGTTTGCCAGGTCTTTCTGAATGTGAATGAGAGGAATTCACATTTGTTTAATAAAAGAGGTTTTGTCGGGACCAGGAATCTGCCTCTTGCTTTTTGGGGAAGTCTAGGTCAGAACACTGGGTTTCAATGGGAGACTCTGCCAGTGAGGTCCAGGTGCCATGTAGCTCTGTCCCCCCTAATCTGCAAAAATTTACCTACATCAGCTTTCCCCTCCAAGAATCTTGGTGCTTGGTAGAAATTCCAAACTCTATTCCCCTCTCCCAAATGTTTGGCTACAATTTGCTTATGGTTCAATCCATCAGGAAGCCCCATGATGCAAATTCAGATGCAACTCTGTGAAGGAGGACAAAAACAAGAGCAAAGAGATGTTGATGGGCCTCTGCCTGCCCTTCAGCCATGAAAACATGGGCCTTTGTGCACCACTGATACCATAGTTGCTTGTTATGATTGTCTTTTTGCCATTTCTGGAAGCCAACAGCAGTCACACAGAAGGAGTGGACTGGTTCCATACAAACAGTCAAATACTAATATCTTCTTGTTCTATCTTCAGGCCTCAATGTCTCGTCCTGACTGGTCCTCCTAACTTTCGCCCAGCACTGGTTGATTTTGTGGGCACTTTTACAAAAAATTTGAGTCTGATGATCTGTGGGAATGTGTTGATTGTGAGTATTTGTTCCTACCAGATAACTAAGAAATTGCAGGTCTCGGCTATCTTTATCTATCTAATTTCCATTGTTTACCTACATTTTTGTCTGTGTCCATCTGTCCATCTGTCTGTCTGTCTATCATCTACCCATCTCTCTCTCTTTCTCTCTCTAATAAAGGAGAAAATTTGTGGCTTGGGGAAACCACAAATCTTGTGAAATGAGGAGTCCTTAGTGCTTTCTCAGCTTGGTTTTTCCTTGCAGATGTTTAATTATTTATTAATTAAACACCAGGCGTTGTCTGTTTTTCTTTGCCTTTTCTTTCTTTCTTTCTTTCTTTCTTTCTTTCTTTCTTTCTTTCTTTCTTTCTTTCTTTCTTTCTCTTCTTCTTCTTCTTCTTCTTCTTCCTCTTCCTCTTCCTCTGCTTCTGCTTCTGCTTCTGCTTCTCCTTCCTCCTCCTCCTCTTCTTCTTCTCATCCTCCCCCCCTCTCCTTCTCCTCCCTCTCCCTCTCGTCATTCTAAAAAGAGGATTGCGTCTGATCATAAGAGAAACAGGATACCACAGTATCTCTCTTTTCTAACTGCATTTCCAATTCATCTGAAAAAATCTACAGGGACCTCAACACCACTGAGGTCTCAGACTAGTGACTCCAGTGATGGAAGGATAAACAGTAACAGAGTTGGAAGGGACCTTGGAGGTCATCTAGTCCAATCCTCCGCTCACGCAGGAGACCTGTACTAGGGATTCGAACCACCAAACTGCTGACCTTTGAATGTTGGCTCGTGAAGAAAGGAAAAATCAGTTTTAATCTCAGCTGGGACACAATGCTCCCTTCTGCTAAGGACCTGAAATGAAACTGAAGCCTTCAGCCCAGCAGGCTTCAAATAACAAAGAGCAGCTTTTAACGGCTGGCAGGTGTCCATTTCAGCAGCTTCAGTGGCTTACCTCCAAGTGAGATCCTTTGCTATCCAAACGGCAGATTGCTAGCCAACTAAATCTTCCCCTCCACCATGTATACATCCAACAATCAAAAATCAAGAGGCGTCTGGCTGTGAAAATGTGTGCCCTTGAATAAAATTAGTCTGAAAAAGTGCTATCAGAACTTAATGATCTGGAGCAGCAAAGGGTGAACACAGCTCTCCTCCTACCATATCGTCAAAAGCATAGCCCCAAGTACTTCTCCGGATTTCATGTTTACTGCAGATGCCAAGAGGAACTTGGCTGGATGGCTGTGAAGTGTGATAACAAAGCTAGCACTTGGCTTTCAACAATTGTTCTTCTGGAACAATCGCCAAGCTAATTAAGCAAGAATGAATGAATGAATGAATGAATGAATGAATGAATGAATGAATGAATGGCTGCTAGCTTGGTTTTCATCTGCAGTTTGAATTGCCAGGATAAAAATAGACAATTTTGGAGAAGAAAAAAATACAATCTTCGTAGGACATTCTGCTCTGGAGATGTTCCACCATTAATCAATCTCTCTTTTGTTTCCTTCTTGGAAAAGACAATTTCAATAGGTAAATATTTGAATCCTTTACATAATTAGGCCTTAAAAATACCAAGCATCTAAGTTGTTAGTTGTGAATTCATGTCCAACCCATCGCAACCCCATGGACGACGTTCCTCCAGGCCTTCCTGTCATCTACCATCCTCTGGAGTCCCTTTAAGTTCACGCCAACTGCTTCGGTGACTCCATCCAGCCATTCTCTGTCGTCCCCTTCTTCTTTTGCCCTCAATCATTCCCAGAATTATCGCTCAATCATTCCCACTCTTCTTCAGTGAGTCCTTCCTTCTCATTAGGTGGCCAAAGTATTTGAGTTTCCTCTTCAGGATCAGGCCTTCTAAAAGGCAGTCGGGGTTGATCTCCTGTAGGACTGACCAGTTTGATCGCCAGTTTGATAGCTAAGAGAGGTGTATAAATCTTCATTTCAGATTGAAATGAAAGGAAAAGCATTTCAAATTGAAATGAAAGGAAAGGCAATATGAGCATGTTCTTCCAAGCTGAGCCATCGCTGTCGAAATCAAAACTTCTTGTAGAAGAAAAGTCTGCTTTTCCCAATTTGCTTAATATAATTAAGCATGCTTAATTAAGCCCACACTTGGAATACTGCATTCAGTTTTGGTCACCATGATGTAAAAAAGATGTGAAGACTCTAGAAAGAGTGCAGAGAAGAACAACAAAGAGGAGTGGAGACTAAAACATATGAAGAACGGTTGCAGGAACTGGGTATGTCTAGTTTAATGAAAAGAAGAACTAGGGGAGACATCATAGCAGTGTTCTAATATCTCAGGAGTTGCCACAAAGAAGAGGGAGTCAAACTATTCTCCAAAGCATGAGGTTTGAACAAGAAGCAATGGGTGGAAAGTAATCAAGGAGAGAAGCAACAAGGAGAAATTTCCTGACAGTTAAAACAATTAACCAGTGGAACAACTTGCTTCCTGAAGTTGTGAATGCTCCAACACTGGAAGTTTTTGAGAAGATATTGGATAACCATTTTTCTGGTGGTGTAGGGTTTCCTGCCTGAGCAGAGGGTTGGACTAGAAAACCTCTACGGTCCCTTCCAACTCTGTTATTCTATTCTATTCTATTCTATTTTAATTTCAAAATTATTAGCCCATTTTCTTGTATAATAAAAATCACAGATAATCCATTAAGCCACCACTAAAAGCATCATGGGTATGTATTAAACAAGCTTAGCATGTTGAACTACCTTTTAAAGCAAGTTGTATGAACAAAGCCCATGAGACATGGATTCTTGCTCTTGGACTCATTGCTCAGGTTCATAGATTGTATCAAGCCATGGTTTTTTAATGGCATATTGCCTACATGACTGAATTGGTGGTTTACAGACAAAGAGTTACTGGGATGAAGCAAAACACTAAACCAAATTCAAACCACATTCAGGTTAAGCTTTACATTAAATGCTTAGCTTGGTAGGGGCCCCTACAAACCTTGGCTGTTTTCTAACAACTGTTTTCTAAACGGGGTTTTGAAACCCTGAAATTAATAGTTGGACTTTGTGTATGATGTAGCAATAGCCCTTAGACTTATATACCACTTCACAGTGCTTTCCAGTCTTCTCTAAGTGGTTTACTGAGTCAGCTTATTTGCCCCCAACAATCTGGGTCCTCATTTTACCCACCTCAGAAGGATGGAAGGACAAGTCCACCTTGAGTCTTACCATGTACATAAGGAAGAGGGCTCAGTTGTGTGTTTGCGGTCACCATCTTGGCTTTTTGACCTCACTGTTGCAGTTGGTCCTGCACAGACCATATTTCAATAGGAGATAATATATATAAAGCATTGATGATGTTCCCTAGCTGGGTAATGAAATGTCTGCAAGCAAACAACCAAACTCAGAGAGCACTGAGGACTCTGCGTTTCTTCCTGTCTTCCTGTAATTGTGACTTCTTCCTATGCTTCTTTCTCCCAGGGGCCCTGCAGACAGGCAAATGCTGAAATGGGACTTGCTTCCAAAGGCCACATCAAATGGCTGACCAAGCGAAAGGTCAAAGCTTTCTACACAGGCATCTTAGCAGAGGACCTGAGAACTGGAGCACAAGTCCTTATGCAGGTAAAACTCTATTCTATTCTATTCTCTATTCTCTATTCTCTATTCTCTATTCT